CCACGCCCGGCTAATTTTTAATATTTTTAGTACAAACGGGGTTTCACCATGTTAGCCAGGATGGTCTCGATTTCTTGACCTCGTGATCTGCCCACCTCAGACTTGCAAAGTGCTGGGATTACAAAAGCGTGAGCCACCGCGCCCGGCCTGTACTACTTTCTAAAAAGGGAAACAGTCACAAAAAGGATTCCCTCTCACCTCTTACGAGGGCAAACATAGCGATATTCCTGTCTAACAAGGAACACAGACACGTAGCAGGCTCTCAATACATGCATGACTATATCAATATTTGTGTAATTAAAGACAGTTACCTGAGATTTGCTGTCCCACAAAAGCCTGCAGTCCTTCCTGCTGGAGAGCCTCCTGTCTTGCTGTCCTGGATCTTGAAAGGCACGACAAAGGGCTGTGCCTCCACTCTCAGAAGTACACCTTATCTCTGTCCACTGGCGCTGCGCCTTGGTAGATCTTTATCTGGGGCTCCCAACCACCGTTCCTACTAGACACACTTCTGGGTTCCAGAGGGAAGGGGATTAGAGCACTTGACGCCTCTGAAACACAGCGTGTAGAGCCAGCATCCTTCTTCCAGTTACTGATCCTACAGAGAGGGATGATGAGCTCTTAACTTTGTGTATGGACCAGCATTTTGGCATCTGACACTGTCCTTCTGTCCAGCGCAGGCATTTATTTCCAAGGCACTGGCCTCTCCGGTGTCTGAAAAATGCCATGTCGTAACTGCATCAGGGCCCTTAGTCCATTCCTTAACTTCGGCCCTTAACTGAAAGTTCTTTACTCGTTCATTGCAGCACTCAGGGCCAACCCTACTAGCAGATATCAGTATCTCCCCCAAAAAATACGTGAAATATGAGATTCAGGTTAGGTTACTCGTGCAAACCAGGCAGTCAATGCAAAGCCAGGCAGCCAATGCAAAGCGAAGCCTTAATAGCGGTCAACATTGTTACTGTAATTATTATACCATCATCTCCATCGAGTTCCATCGAGTATACTTGGAGAGTGCAGCCCCTCGCCCAGGGCTCTGAGCGGTTTCCGAGGCCTCAAGCCCCGGCGGGGCCGTTGGAGTTCCGTTGGGGGAACGTCAGCGAGGCGCGCTGCCAGTTGGGATGAAACTAGCGGTCCAGGCCGGGCACGGTGGCTCACGCCTGTGGTCCCAGCACTTTGGGAGGCCGAGGCGGGCAGATGACGAGGTCCGGGGATGGAGACCACCCTGGCTAATACGGGGAAACTCCGTTTCTACTGAAAATACAAAAAATTAGCCGGCCTGTTGGCGGACGCCTGTAGTCCCAGCTACTCTGGAGGCTGACGCAGGAGAATGGCGGGAACCCGGGAGGCGGAGCTTGCAGTGAGCCGAGATGGCGCCACCGCACTCCAGCCTGGGCCACAGAGCGAGACTCCGTCTCAAAAAAAAAAAAAAAAGAAAAAGAAAAAACAGAAAGAAAAGAAAATGGCGGACAAAGGAAAGGATCCTCCTTCAAGCAGGGTAGGGAAGAAGGGTACTCCGTGACCAGAGACCTTTTCCAGGACCATGTCTTTGAAGCAAATCTCAGCTCTTGTCTTCCGGAAGCGATGGACACAGAATCCAGAAGCCTGAGGTGAGATTTGTGGCCAACGCTGCCGCCTTTAGGAAGCCCAGCAGCGCGTCCTCTCAGGCCGGGCCCCTGGATGAAGCCTCGCCCCGGCCGTGGCTCCACCCCCGGGTAAGGTTGGGCCCCAAAGGACGCTATACAATTTTACTATACAGATGCTGGAGTATCTGGACAGGAGGCAGTGCCTTCTGTCTGAAATCTTTCCTATTGCTCTTTCATTCCTCCAGAAGTTTCTGAGCTATCTAATCACTAAATGCTGGGCACAGAGCCTTGATGAGGGAGACATGATCTCAGTCTGGAAGACAGACTATTAAGCGAAATATTCCAATACACTGTGGAGGGTGTTGTGAACTGGAAACCAAGGACGGATCACAGCTTGGGAGGATCAAGGCGGGTATCTGAGGGAAACCTCTTTCAGTATAATGGAAGGAAGGAGCAAAGTTATTTGATGGGAGTTCAAGGTGTTTGGGATATTTTTAAGTTTTATGATGAAAGGTTCCCATCTGTTGGCTTCTCATTCCTTTGTAATATATGTGGTCCAGCACATATGTTCAATGGGTGAGTACGGTGGAGAAAATTAGGAAAGTGAAATTGTAATTTTGAGTAGATAAGCAAAGAAATTTACTAAGAAAATAATAAGATAAACTCCACAAGACAGAGAGCTTTGCTCCCTCACTGGTGTGACCCAAGTGCTTAGAAGACTGCCTAGCACAAAGTACTCACTGGAGGAATGAACGGATTATTTTCAGGCAGTGTTAGAAACTGGCCATTAGTTGTAGATAATGAATTAATGGTGGCACCAAACACTTAATTGTGTGATTTTATCCAAAAAGAATCAGCTTGTTTTTAGAAGACAGGTCTAGTAAAGGTAGCAAGTTGGATTTTTCCAGGCAGGAAAGATGAAAAGACACTGGGATAGGTTGTTTGGAGTAGATCATAAAGTCCAGATCTTAACCAGGTTTGTGGTTAAGTGTGGATTATGAGGTTTTTCTTGAAGAGGGAAATAAAAGGTTACCTGATTGGCAAAGAGAAAGTTTAAAGTGGTTTGCAATTCCTGAATTGGTTGAAGAACTGGCATACTGAGGGCATAAGTGAGAAGGATAAAGGGTGGAATGTCAGACTGTCTTTTTTCCGAAAGCAGAGATATTCCTGGTAGTTCTAGGGTATGGCAATAACTGGACTGGAATGAAGGTAAAGGGCTTTAAGATGACATCTATTCACCTGGATGTTGAGGCCTTCAACTGATTTCCTTCAGATTGAGGGTTCCTTACCCTGAACCTCATCCCAAATTTTTCCCCTCCCAAGGCATCCACAGAATTACCATTCTTCCTGAACTTCTAAGCTTTGGTCAATGACATGACTCTGAACAAGAAGGAAGAAATGGAGCAGTAAGAGAGAGGGCTTTAGTAAATCCATTTTATCTTTGTCACCCAGAATTTACTCACCTTCTGGAAATATTTCTTCTATTGCCTTATGGGGAACTAACCCCAGTTTCGGTTTCAGTCCATGTGCAGGTGGAGTTGCCTTTCCCAACACTACTATTTTGAGGATGGTATGTAACTCAGGCTTGGCTAAAAAGATCATTCCACGTTTTTGGCGATAGTGATTGGTTAGGAATGGGCATGCGACCCAGTTGGAGCCAGCAGCGTACTAATGGAACTTTTGAAGGAACTAGTGGGAGAGGCAACCTATTTTTATCTGCACTTGAAGCCTGGAGAATATAGCTATGAACTTACCAGATACAAAGTCTTAATGAAGCCAACTCATAACACAGAGCAAAGGCATGGATAGAAATGAATTCTGAGGAAATTAATGGCATCCCCGTACGAATCCTCCTGCCTAGGGCCAGTCTTACTTCCAGACTTTTTGCCCCTAATTTCTCCTCTAAGTTTGAATACTGGCAGTGGTATTTCAGGTGGTTCTAAGGGCTCCTTTCACTTTACCATTCATGATGACCCCACACCACTTCTACCTTCATACCAACTTTCTTTTTCTTTGGATGCTACAACTTCTTTGATATTTGTCGGCAGGGGGAGTTATTTTTGTTTTTTAACCAGCCACCACTCCACTCAACTGTTAAACAACTTCCACCTTGATAATCTGGATATGGATCAGGGTGACGACCTATTTGGCACCTTTGGCCACTTTGGCTTCAGTGAACTCAATGGGATGGCCAAGAAGAGACCCTTTTGTTAGGAAGTCTTCTAAGAAGTCTCCAGTGACTCTATCTCATGATACTGACACGTGTGTAATTATCCCTCCCCTTAAATGTGGGCTGGACTTTCTGATTTGCTTCTAATCAGTAGAAAAAAGGGAGAGATGATAGGATATCATTTTCAATTTTAGTTTACAAAAGATGTAACTTCTGGTTTGTTAGCAGACTGTCTCCTTTCCTGACTTTGATGAAGCAAGCTACCACATTGGAGAGGCCCACATGATAAGGAACTGAAGGTGGCCTCCAGCCAGCTCCAGCCAACAGTCAGCAAGGAATTGAGGACCTTAGTCCAATAGACCTTGAGGAACTGAATCCTGCCAACAGCTACATAAGTGGGCATGGCAGGGTATCCTTCCCCAGTAAAGCCTTCAGACGAGACCCCAGCCCCAGCTGACACCTTGATTGCAGCCTTGTGAGAGACCCTGAAGCAGAGAACCCAGCTAGGCCTTGCCTGGATTCCTGATCCACAAACTGTAAGATAACATATTTTTTAGGCCACTAAATTTTGAGGTGTCTATTACACAGCAATACATATCTAACATACTTGTAAATCATCATAACTTTGGTGTAAGGTGTAGCAGCATGACTGGAAGGCAGGGACCAAGATCACCTTCTCCAAATAGGATGATACTGTGTCTGACAACATCCCTGCAAATATTGTCTTTATGCTCAAAGATCATCCCTCGTACTCATACTGAAGTGGAATCATTGTACTCTACAAATCCCTTATTAGACTCTAGGAGGTGAGGCCTAGCTAAAGGAGTGTTGGGTGCAGTGGATGCCAGGATGGAGTTATGAGTAGGGATGATGAGGTTATACTTTTACCTCTTCTTTTTATTTTCCTTGCCCACTCACTCTCCCATTACATTTTTCTTGCTCTCTGTCTCCTTTTCTCCCAAGTTCTGAGTAACTGCCTGGTGACCATTCCTACAAGTCATTGCCACGCAATCCCTTGGTCTTGTAAGAGTGCTATCAAGCCATGCATCTTGAAGAGATTCCCTAAGGAAGGGAGTCTTCTCTTTCCTCAAGATAACCTCATAAGCAAAGAGACCTTATGGTCAACTTCAAAATACTCTTTTTAGACAGAGTAATATGCCACATATAACAGATTTTTCAGCAGGACCCACCCACTGCCTGGACCATACCTCAGCCAAATAAGTGTCCACAATAGCAAAATCCACCCATTCGTGCCTCATACAATGACCACTCACCTGTCTGATGTTCTGGAGTCAGTAGCTTTTTAAAAATGAAAGTAAACTACTGTTTTCAGAAAATTATTTTTATTCCTGGCCTCTTTCAGAGATGCACTTTCTATCCCCATTACTGCTCCAAAAAGGGTACAGAAAGGGAAAAGATGTACAACCACCCATTTTCCATTATCATTAGGGTAAGGTAGGAGGTGGGGAACAGGGCACATTGCCCCAAACTTCATGAGGGAGAGAAGGGCTGGCTCTTGGGAGGAATATTTATTCCTCACGGAGAGATCCAAGAAAAAGATTTCTCCCTGTCACTGATTTCAGGGTCTAAAAACCACCACACTTCCAACTCTAAAACTTCCTAATGGCTGGGCGCGGTGGCTCACGCCTATAATCCCAGCATTTCGGGAGGCCGAGGTGGGCAGATCACCTGAGGTCAGGAGTTCAAGACCAGCCTGACCAACATGGAGAAACCCCGTCTCTACTAAAAATATAAAATTAGCCAGGCGTGGTGGCACATGCCTGTATTCCCAGCTACTCAGGAGGCTGAGGCAGGAGAATCACTTGAACCCAGGAGGCAGAGGTTGCGGTGAGCCAAGATCATACCACTGCACTCCAGCCTGGGCAACAAGTGCAAAACTCTGTCTCCAAAAAAAAAAAAAACTGCCTGGAGGCAGCAAGGGAATTTCTGGCTTTATTATGCCAGAGTAACTCACTGTACTCTACAGCTGTATGTACTTTAAGATAGCCAGGTAGCCAGTAAAAGGATAATTTGAGCCAAGTTCTGGACTTTGGATTTTTCAAAGGGTTTTTCTCACTTTGAAAAGCCTTGAAAGGTTTTAGAGTAAACTTTTTGTACTTTTATGAAATAATAGTGTTTTAATTACAGGACATCTGAAAAGTGTCAAAAGACCCTAGGATAAGACTGAGAAAGCCATTATCAGGCTCCCTACAAGGGACTGGTCATCTTTTAGAAGGCAAAAGAGAAAAGCAATGAGACCTAAACTAATTCCTTCCTTTCCCTGAGCACAAGCTCTGGGATACCCAAAACCCACACCTCCAGAGCAGTACACGGAGAACACCACTCTATAGTACAAGAAACATTTGTTGGGCAGGGTCAATAGTCTTGATTGTGCTAAAAGGAGATTGCTCTCATCAGAGGATATACTATCATGAAAACTGAGAGGCTCTTTCTACAAGAACTGGATTATTCTTTGGGGAAAATTTTTCCTTCCTGTAAGTGCTGGAGAAGCATTTTCTGTTTGCAAAGAAGGGTCAAATCTTTGAACACAGTGCCTTAAGCTGGTGTGATGTCAGGGGCACATACTTGCCTGCAGGTGGGGCTTGGATGGGACACAGACTCACTAGAGGGCAGGGAAGGGGGATTACTCTGGCATAATAGCTGCTCTTTAAATGTCACAACTTTCTGGGGATGACTGATCCTAGTCCTGATCCATCTAATGCTTGAAAGATAACTTGGGTCAGCAGAGACAGCTTCTTGGTTATAAGGGTTGGTACTTGACCCTTCCCCTTGCCAGTGTTCAGAGGGAAGCCAATAGTTGGAGGGTCATCCGTTGTCAGGCTCTGCCTGAGTCTGCGGCTTTTCTTCTGCTGACTTAATTCCAAGTCCTCAGGTTCCTGCCTACATGCCAGTTTCTCCTCTAGTATCTTCCCAATGGCTGTCATGAGCTCAAGAGCTTCAAGAGGCCTCATAAAGACAGGTCTACCTTCCACTAGGTCTTGGTGCTGTACAAAGGCTGGCATTAGCTTGTCTTTTTGCATGGGACTTTCTGCCCTGTGCTTTTTCTCTTAAAATCAATCCACTGAAGAAAATGTCTCATCTTTTTTTCCGAAGTAACTTCCAGGACGAAATGGTTCTTTCTGTGACAGAGACTTTGAAGTCGCCTCTAATTTCCTGTCCTTGCCAAGATGGCTCTTCCTTGTGGCTTTGGATGTCCCTAATCCCAAGTCCTCGCTCCCACATTCTCTTGCTTTGGGTCCCCTCTTGGCTGATGGGAAATTCTTATCCTGGCACTCCCATAAGACATACTTAGAGACTTGGGGCTCTTGCAACTGCTTCATGCTGATCCCTCCATTGTCTGGGTGGATATGCAGTACCTGGGAAGCTGCCTTGTCCTCACTGGAGAAACTCAGGGATTAAGCCAGTGAGGAATCAGAAATCAAGCTATCTGAAGTAAAGAACATGTTGCTGAGACAACCTTGAGCCTGACTATGCTCCCCACTCTGCAATTTAAACTTTAACTCACTAACCAGCTGTCCTTTAAAGTCTGATGATTTAGGATCTTCAGCAATCAATATTCTTGGTGGGGAGTATTTGGAGGTCAAAGTAGTTTCTTCTTTACTTTTACTTGTGTTCATCACTGAGGAGCTTCCCAACTCACTGGTTGTCAAGATATCATTAGATTATGATTGAAGAGCACAGAGCTCCTCTATCTCCCTGGACACGTTGGACATAGAAAAATGTTCTGAAGTTTCTGCTACCATTTTGTTTGCCCTGAAGCCTTTCTACACTATTGCTGGGACTCACCTTCTCATTCCTTGATTCATCTCTACCCCTGTCTTGCCTTGTGGACAGCTCTGAGCTGTGTCTATTGGCTAGTACAATCTCATTATGATTCTCTTTGTCTATGATGCTGTGTATAGGGGGCAGAAAAGTCTGTCTGCCATCCTCAATTGTCTGGGCAGTCTCTATAAGCTTACAGTGAGTAGGAGAGGGTGATTGTCTCAAGGCTCCCTATCCTGTGTTTACAGATGAAGTGGCAGGGAGAGGACAATCCAAGCTGGGAACTGGATTTGTCATTTCTAACTTGTGTCCCTGAAAAGCATTAGAGCATCCCTCAAGGGACCTGGAAACCACACCTTTAGAAACCATCCTAGAAATATAAGTGGTAGACAAAGGAAAGTTAAGTTGGGGAAGAGGCCATGTTTTGGCTTTTCTCAACATATAGAATTTTATGGATTCAAGAACCTTGAAGGGTAGACCCCCACCTCTGACTTACCCTAACCCTCATCATATGAGCCTCTAATACCTGATGGGTTTTGGAATCAAGAAAGGAAAGTTCCAGAGTGGTAATCTTGCAGTACACCCTTCCCACCAATGGTGCCACATTTCTGTTTTCCTTATTGGTATGGGAACTCCCAGAAGGAGGCAATGTATTGTGAGCCAGACATGAACAACATACTCAGATAGGAATCCTATCCAAAGTGACCTGCCAAAACTTCCTGCTCAAATGTAATCTAAGAATGGTTTTCACTTGATTCTGGTCTAAGTTCCTCCTTCATACACTTAGTAATTCATTCCTTGAGTGACCTACCCAGTTACTTTTTCTGTCAGAGACAGCCCTCAGACCCTTCACCAGGTAGTTCTCTGAGACCATTGGTGGGGTATGTAATGGGCACTTCGCCAAGATATACTCAAGATTCTTTGCCGTGTCATTTCACAGCTGAAACTTTGTTGGGACCTCTCATGGAAACTTCCTGGGAGACTCAATTCTATCTTCCCTAGATTTTTGCTACTGTGACCCTGAAGCTCAAGGGGTTGTGAGTATGTCTGCAGTTCTGCTAAGATATTTCTGTTGATTTGCACTGAGGCTTCCTCAGTGATAGAGACCCTAGATTCCTGCAGGTATGAAGGCACCAGCGTAAGATTGGCCTCTTTGGAACATGGAGCTCCAATTTCTCCTAGGGATCATTTCTGATATGAAAGTAACCAGGAAAAGTGGAGACTGCAACATAGGCCTGGGAGGACTGGCTGACCAATGGAAGGTTGGGAGCTGGAGGATGAAGGGCTTCTTAAGATTTTTGGAGCAAAGGGACTAAACCCCACAAATGTTCCTGTTGTTTCTGTAACACATGCCATTCCAGATGTTGATTTGAGGTGTGAGAGTCAGCCTCATTCTGGAGTATATGGGAAGATATTCCACAGTCCTTAACCTGGGATGGAGAAGATGATGGTAGGGTAGGGAGTGAGGAGTGAAGGTGAGCCTGGGAATGGATCTGAGCGATAGGTAGGATCTGGGGTTGGTGGTTGGTTTGAGGAAAGGATTGGGGATGTATAGGGGTGAGGGGATGATGGTGGAACTGAGGAAGTGGTAGAGATTCTTGATCATGCATTTGGACTGTATTGAATACAATAAAGCAAGACACTAGTGGGGAACTGCTCCTAGAGATCAGGAGAGTAACCACTAAGGACATACTATGCAGAGAGGAAAGACCCTAGAAAAGCTTGCTATATTTCTTTTTGGGTTTTTTTTGTTTTGTTTTGTTTTTTTGAGACGGAGTCTCGCTCTGTTCCCCAGGCTGGAATGCAGTGGCATGATGTCGGCTCACTGCAAGCTCTGCCTCCCGGGTTCAAGCCATTCTCCTGCCTCAGCCTCCCAAGTAGCTGGGACTACAGGCGCCCACCACCACGCCCAGCTAATCTTTTGTGTTTTTAGTAGAGACGGGGTTTCACCGTGTTAGCCAGGATGGTCTCGATCTTCTGACCTCATGATCTGCCCCCCTCGGCCTCCCAAAGTGCTGGGATTACAGGCGTGAGCCACCAAGCCTGGCCGTGGCTATATTTCTGTCGCACACTTCCCCCCAAAGTTTTGACATGCAGGAGCTGCTGACAAATGCGCAGCTGCTCTGGTGTGCCTTTGGTGTTCCAGCTGGTTTGGGGGCCTATGGTGTCCTGCTCATCAACAAGGGACTGCAATAAATTTCCTGAAGATGTCAGTTGGTATTCTGACCCCATTTACTTTGAAAATAATCCCTTCTCCTTTTCTTTCTTCTCCAAAATCTGGAAAGCCATTCTTTTTTTATTTGTTTTTCTAGGAGTGCCTGTATCTTAAGGCCAAAAACGAATGGCTACTGGCCTCCATGTGCTTGGTATCAGAATCTTCCCAGAGACAGGTCTCTGGTGAAGGAAGGGAAACATGCTCCCGCTGAAAATCAGGGTATGGTAATCTGGGAAGGAACATGTTCCTGATGTGAGGCTGCCACCAGGAGAATTCTGAGTTGGAATGGTCCGTGCCTCTGATTGTTGGAACATAAGTGGACAACCAAATGGGACTTTCCATAGAGGGCATCTCTGAAACAGGTTTCAATAACACGGAACTTGATTTAGATTGAGTCACAGTTCAGTCTTGCAGTGGTGAAGCAGACAGGGTTGGTGGCGTGTGATCACAAGCACATGAATTAGTGGGATTCATTGCCCGGGAAACATCAGATAAGGGGTTGATATCTTGGGAAAGGGTGGGGTCAAGGGCGGGGTTCAGAGACAGAGAGGCCTTGGGTTGGAGATCAGTATCTGCCTTCTGAGTGTGTTGTGGTGGGAGAGGGGGAAAAGCAAGCTGTTGGGATGGGGAATGGTCCACAGAGAATCTGGAATCCAAGGGAGGAACAGGCTGTGGTGGCAGAGTGTCACTCAGCGATGAGGGTGAAAATAAGTCAGCTAAGAGGATATTCAGGTCAGGGGAGAGAATGGAGCAGGGCAGAGGAGAAGGCTCAGGCAGAGAGGAGCCAGTATTAGGTCTTCTAGAAGGGTTGCTGGAAGGGCAGAGGTTAGAGTTAATGATGACTTGGTCACAGAAGCTGTGGAAGCCAAAGGGGACACAGAGGGAGCAGCATCTTACGGGGACTCCTGGAACAGCAGTCACTTGACCTCAGCAGTTGCTCTGTTACACACCTCACAGAGAAGGTCTGGACATAATAGTTGATGAAAACGGATGGTATTGTAATGCTGGGCCAGAGGACTACAGGAGACAAGAGGTACAAAGCTGCAGCCAGGATTGAAACAAACATATGTGACCTTGACAGGTCTTGCAAAGATAAGACCTCACAATGCATGCTGTCTTTTCATATGCCCCCTTCCACTTTCCTTATCTCACAGTATACCTTTTACCCCTTTCCCTATGGCTTTTACACTCTGACACTGGATTTTTCCTCCCATTTCAACCCCAGGCTTTTGTAGCACCCTATAATTACATGAACTCTACTAAAAAGAGGGATACTGGAAAGAAGAATAATGTTGAGTCACCTTTGCAGAAGAAAAAACAGCTTCCTCTCTTCCTCTACTTCACTCTGGCAAGTTCTCCAACTGAAAAGCCAGTAGGGTGAGTAACAGAATAGTGATGAAGTTAGAAGCAAAGAGATCTTAAGTAGAATGGGCTAAGTAGAATGCCCCTTAGGGGTGCCCTTGGTTGATTGGTCTTGAAGAACCTCAAGGATCTGTAGAAAAGCTCAAATTGTCATTGATAATATTAACACGGTTCACATATGTAAGTGGCTTCATTTATAAAGTCCTTTTACATACAATATTCCATGTGATGCCCAAACCCATCACATGGGACCAGGTGCGGTGGCTCATGACTGTAATCCCAGCACTTTGGGAGGCCAAGGTGGGTGGATCACGAGGTCAGGAGACTGAGACCATCCTGGCTAACATGGTGAAACCCCATCTCTACTAAAAATACAAAAAATTAGCCGGATGTGGTGGTGAGCACCTGTAGTCCCAGGTACTCAAAGGTTGAGGCAGGAGAATGGTGTGAACCCAGGAGGCGGAGCTTGCAGTGAGTGGAGGTCACACCACTGCACTCCAACCTGGGCAACAGAGTGAGATTCTGTCTCAAAAAAAATAAAATAAAAATAAAAATAAATCACATGAAGCACAGATGTCAGCGGTTATCTCACAAAGGAGGAGGTCAAAGTACTTATACAAAGTGGAGAGACAGAAGTTGTGACTCCAAACCAACCAACCAGTAGTCCTTCCACCATAGATCTCACATGGCCACCTACTGGGCAACACCCATTGCCCAGGTTCATCACTCCTTCTTGTGCATGGATGAGCAGAGCAGGAACTCCGAGAAGTGTCTCAGGTCTGATTGCTTTCCCGTGAGCCTCTCCTGTGAGGACTGTTTTCTAAGAGAGACTGTATCTAGTAACTGACATCCTCAGAGATTGGGAACCTGAAACCTCATGGAAGAGATAGGAAGGGTCATCTTTGGGGAGCTGAGGTTGAATGGGCAGAACCTTACCTTTAAATGTTCCATTTTTCTTTCTCCTCTTGGCTCTGCCTTGATGCTAAGAACAAAAAGAAAATAATGCGAGGCCAGAACTCACTTCTCTCACTCCTCTAGGAAGCTCAGACATTGATTATACAAGAACAATATGACTCTCTATCTTAATTAATAGAAATGTGTTTATTCTGGGTGTGATGGTGAAAGCCTGTAATCCCAGTTACTCGGGAAGCTGAGTCATGAGAATATTTTGAACCCGGGAGGCAGAGACTGCAGTGGGCCAAGTCATGCCACTGCACTCTAACCTAGGCAATAGAGCAAGACTCAGTCTCAAAAAAAAAAAAAAAAAAAAAAAAAAAAAAAAAAGCTTCTTTTTTCAAGTTTTAAAGGTGATAAAATATTTCCAATTTTTCCCTTTGAAAAATTCAAAGGACAGTTTTGTCTATGAGAGCTACACTTGATGTTCTCAGTTAGCAGTCCTCAGTTCAAGGAAGGCACAGATTCAGAGGCCAACAGCCACATCTTGCTCCCTCACAGAACCTGTGTCCTGGAAACAGCACTCCAGCTTCAGCTTCTGCTCAGAGGCTCTCAGCATTGCCCTCCTCATCAGCCCAACATGAAGGAAGGTTTGGCTGAGTGACACGTGACATGGAAATACTACTCATGATCGAGTGTCAGGAGAAGCTGTTCTTTTGAGAGTCCACAGTCTCAATAATTTAATCCAGTACCACAGAATCACTGTTTTTGGGATTTTATCCTGAAATTCTCCATTACAGCCAGATAGGGAGTCTGTGAGCTTCAGATGGAAACCTTAGTCCTCCTGAACCCCTACCTCTGTCTGACATCTTCCCTTAGAATAGTGATGTTCTAGCCTCTCCTCAGACTTCCCATGTCAAGTGTCTCTCTAAGCCAACAAACTCATTTATAAATGTGGGAAGAAGAACAGGAAAATAAGGAATCATTTTCTGAGGGGATACTTCTGGTTCCAGCTCTGACATTCAAAAAACTTACCACTCCCATCTTTGGAAGGAAAAGGCTGAACAAATTGAAAATAACTTCCTGGAGCCACTGGGGAATTGAGGTTGTAGGGCAAACCACCCCCTAAAATCCTCAGAAATATGAATAAAGAGAATCATAATTGAGATCAGCTTACCTGGAGCAGAAGCCACTGAAGCCGTAAACTGGTCGGAACACTTAAATGGACACTTTGACAAATTGCTGGAGGAAGTTTGTGAACTAGTATGAGAGTGAGAAAATTCCTGGGGTCACAGTCGTAGGGAGTCCCCTACATTTTCATGGGTTTTACCTCTGGGAAACCCATCAGGTTCTCACAATGAAGAGCAATGAGAAAACTCATGCTTCTGGCAGGGACAAGGGAAAGGTTACCATTTTCAAAGATACTGAGTGTTCTTCATAATAGAGGCCTATTCATTAGGGAAAAAGGCTACCAGAGCATGATCTTACGTGACAAAAGGAAGTTACCCAACTCCAGCCCCATCTAGCCTTCGCGTCTCATCTAAGAGGTGGGGGAAAAAAAGCTTGGAAACACTGGTGAACATCACAGCCCAGGGACACAGGACTAAAAGACTGAGATTTAATTGCATCACCTCCTACATACCCTAGCACCACATTAACAGAACTCCAGTATAGGAACGGGATGATGGTGCAAAGAACTACAAGGTGTAGACTCTTATTTAAGAAGATAATCTTAGGGAAAGCTAACGATACCAGAGGAGACAAAAACAAGGAAACTGGAGAAAATTGAGGAGGCTCTGTTATGTACTACAGCAGCAAACACTTAACACAGCTCAAGTCCTAGCCACATTAACATAAATCCTAGCACTAATAGCCTATTTACCTCAATACATTGGGTCTGGCGTTCAACTGAAAATCACAAGGCATGCCAAAAGGCAAAAAAAAAAATTCTAAATAAACAAATCTAGCCTCAGATCTGCACTCACATATGGCACCAATTTAGGATTTATCAGACATGGAATAGAAAAAACTATGATTAATAAGGGTTCTAATGGAAGAAGTAGGCAACATGCAAGAACAGATGAGGACTGTAAATAAAGAGATAGAAACCCTAAGAATCAAAAGGAAATGTTAGAAATTTTTAAAAATCACAGTGGACATGAAGAATGCCTTTGATCGGCCATCAGGAGACTACATTTGGCCAGGGAAAGAATGAGTGAGTTTGAATATATATCAATAGATCCTTCCCAAACTGAATGCAAAGGGAAAAAAAATAAATTTTAAAACCCAAATTACCCAAGAATTGTGAGACAGTTTCAAAATGTTTACCATAATATATCATTGGAATACCAGAAGGAGAAGAGAGGATAAAGCAGAAGAAATATTTAAAGTAATAATGACAGAATTTTCCAAAATTGATGACAGACTGCTATAGATCATGGAAGCTCAGATAACACGAAGCAAAATAAATACTTTAAAAATCTACATCCAGGGCTGGGCGCAGTGGCTCACACCTGTAATCCCAGCACTTTGGGAGGCCAAGGTGGATGGATCAACTGAGGTCAGGAGTTCAAGACCAGCCTGGCTAACATGGCAAAACTCTGTCTCTACTAAAAATACAAAAATTAGCTGGATGTGGTGGCATGTGCCTGTAATCACTCGGAAGGCTGAGGCAGAAGAATTGCTTGAACCCAGGAGACGGAGGTTGCAGTGAGCCGAGATCGCACTGCTGCACTCCAGACTGGGCAACAGAGTGAGACTCTGTCTCAAAAAAAAAAAAATCTACGGCCGGGCATATCATACTCAAACTGCAGAAAACCCAGTGAAAAAAATATTGAAAGAATCCAGAGGGGTAAAAAAACACCTTACCTATAGAGGAACAAGAATAAAAAATTTGGACTTCTCATGATAAAACAATGCAAGGAAGAAGAATAGAGTAAAATATTTAAAGTGTTGCTAGAAGCCTAGAAGCCCACTCCCTTCACCCCACACCCTACCCCCAGAAAAATCCAGCAAAATTATCTTTCAAAGGTGAAGAAGACATAAAAACTTTCCCTGGTCAAAACAAACAAACAAACAAAAAATCAGGAGGAATTAATTACCAGCAAATCCGCCCTACAAGAAATTTAAAGGTAGCTCTTCAGAGAAAAGGAAAATGATCACTCAGATCTATCTATCTATCTATCTATCTATCTATCTATCTATCTATCTATTTTTTTAAAAAAGGAAGGGCACCAACAAAGGAATAAATAAAGGTAAAATAAAACTTTCATTGTTCTTATTCTTAATTGTCATAATAAGAACAATGCCAAAAACAGCATTTTTGTGATTATAGTATCATGGATGAGTAAAATGAATGACAATAATGTTATAAGTGAGAGGAAGAAAGCATTGGAAACATTTTATTTTAAGGTACCTGTGCTACTATACTGTGAAACAGTATAGTGTTATTTGAAAGTGAATTAAGATTGGCTGTAAATGCAATATATTACAAACTAGGGCAACCACTAATTTTTTTTTAAGAAATGTAATTTATGGCTGGGCATAGTGGCTCATACCTGTAATCTCAGCACTTTAGGAGGCCAAAGCAGGAGGATCACTTTAACCTAAGAGTTCAAGAACAACCTAGGCAACATAGTGAGACTCCAACTCTACAAAAAGATTTTTTAAAAATTAGCTGGGCGTGGTGGCACATTCCTGTTATCCCAGCTACTTGGGAGGCTGAGGTGGGAGGATTTTGTGAGCCCAAGAGGTAAAGGCTGCAGTGAGTCGTTACCATCCCACTGTACTCCAGCCTGGGCAACAGAGCTAGACCCTATATCAAAAATAATCAAATATAATTTATAAGCTAAGAGGAAAGAGAATAATTGAATCGTATAAAATGCTTGTTTTGAAAACATCCTCAAATCATTAAGGAAGTTGGTAAAAGGAACAAAGGAACTACAAAACAGAAATTAATAAAATGGTCATAGTAAGTCCTTACATATCAATAATTCTTTTAAATGTGAATCTCATCAAAAGACATAGAATGTGATCAAAAGACATAGAGTGCCTGGGTTTTAAAAAAAGATATAACTGACCAGGCGCGGTGGTTCATGCCTGTAAT